CATAGTGCTGGAACACATTTCAGTGGAGATGGACGGTCACTGGTATTTTAAAAAGGCTTTCCAAATTGTTCTAGCCCTACAGCAGCTGTACGGTTCAAGCCCATAATCCATGATGCAAGACGGCAAGGCACCTTTTAACAGAATAAAGGAGTCTAGCGTTTTGTAATTGTGTTCCCCAACCAGATACGTGGAACAAAACAGCCTTAAAATTAGAGCCAGAGGCCAAAGCTACCTTTGGGAAAATAAGTGGTAGATTGAACTTCGTAGCGTTCTTCAGACTCTTCTCGGCTTGACGAAGACACTGTGCTAAGGGGGGATGAGGGATCCCTACAGATGTTGTCGCTCTTTCTTGTCCCAAGCTTTATCAGCTTTTTTCCCAAGCATTTAGTGTATGGTTTGCATCTCATCACGCTAGAAGGCACATCCGAAAAGGTACCGGGAGGACATTGTTTACACTTGACATCCTCGGTCTCTGTTCCTTTCTTCCGCACACCCCAGCCCACTGGGCACACCGCGTGAAGTCTGCAGGTGTCATTAACCCGAAAAGTACCACTCAGGCAAGTGCACTCCCGGTCAGTCAAGGCAGAACAGGCTATTTTCTCAGTCATTGGCGGTTCACACGGTTTCCTACAGAGATGGCACCTCTCAATGCCATTTTCGTGTTTGGTAAAGGTCCCAACTGGGCAAGGGCTGCACTCTCTCAAGGTAGTCTTTGTACAATGTTTAGACACGTAGGTTCCTGCAGGACACTTGTCACAGATCAGTTCTTTGTTAGTGGCACGGTCGAGGCGGTGGTATTTGCCAGAAGAGAGGTTTATGGCATGCGGTTCAGATGTCAGCTTGGACTGAGCATAGGTGGTGCCAAGGAACACAAGCAGCTGAAAGACAGAGAGGCAGGACGTTAGTCAGATTAGACATCTTAACAGGGACTCCCTATATCCGACGGTTCCCTGCAGCAAGCATTTAAAACTGCAGAGTCATCCAAGGAAGCTTCCTCTTCTTTTCTTTTTTTTTTTACACCGTTAACAATTCATCTGCCTACAGCAACCGGAGGCGAGAAGAGAGCTGAAGGGCCAGGAGGAGATGCTAGCATTCAGGGAAGAAACAGCCAGCACCTCTGGGGATCGAACAGAAGGGGACAAGGAGACGCGATGGATTTTGCCAGTGCCTGGATGCAGCAAAGTCATTAAGACCTGCCTGGTGTTAGCCCACCTTATTTTACACTCCGCTTTTGCAGACAGACTAAGCACGATTTTCCTGTCCCGAGGGGATTAGGATGTAAACAGCACTGGAGGCCCTGCAGACGCGCTTCAGCAATACTTAAGGGCCACGAGCGGGGAGTTCAGATTCGATTTACAGTTCAAGTGAAGAGTTCCCAATATGAACAGAAGCTTCCCGCAGAGCAGCAGTTCCTAATCCGGGTGCCGTGGCACCCCTCGCGTTGTTTTACCTAGGAGTTCATGGCACAAGGGACACGGGTTCAGTTGCCCCCTCCCAGTTCTCCAGAAAACACCCAGATATTAATTACAGGGGCAGGCCATTATTTTGGGCAGAGGGCCGCCTACTGAATTTCAGCAAGCCATCGAGGGCTGCATGACAGGCAGCCCAGGGCAGATTAATATTAATTTTCTAAAGTTTTCAGGGGCCCCCCGGGCTGGACAGGATGTTTTAGGGGCCCCCCAGGCCACATTTTGCCCACCCCTATATTAAGGCATTGTGCGTGGTTCTGGCTGGACTGGGAATCAGGTACATCTATAAAATCTCCTCTGTCCAGCCCCTGGCATTTCACCGACTCTGATGGACTACGCAATCTTTTCACACTTCACCAGTGCAGCGTCTACCAAGCAAGGTATGCCACTGGTTTCAAAGAAGCCGTCCCCTATACAGTTGACATCAGTTGTCCCAAAGGGGAAAAGAAATAATTAAAATGAACCTCAGTGAGGAGTACACGTGGCAACAGCTCCCCCATGATCAGCGTGCAGCATTCACAGGGACATCTCACACGGTTACAACATGGGGAGAAAAAAAAAAACAAAAAAAAAAACCTTTAAAAAAAAATGGATCTATTGTTATTACTTTTAAAGTCAGAGTTGAAGTTCAGACATTGCACAGGTGAAGATTTAAACACCACCAGGATACTGGATCAAGACCAATACACTGTAATCAAACAGCTGGAGATAGCATCACTTCTGGTTGCTGCTGTTGCTCCAATAGCTACTCTGGGAAGCCTGCCAGGGAGAATATATTTGAAAAAAATCCAGCATGACTCTGCAAAACATCCACGCCAGTGGAACAGCAAGTTACAGTGCATCATTTTTTGGTGCAGTCTCTTGCTTCCTGGAAACGCATGCTATAGCACATTTCCATTTCCCCTACTACATAATTTATGGCCCAGGATTTGTACAAAATGCTTCAAATATTTTATAATGCGGCAATTACTGGAGTGCACAGGAGCTGAAAAGGATGCTGCAGCAGACAGGCCAATTACTGCACATCAAAAGATTCTTCACATGCTAAAAAAGGACTGAATGACAGCTTCCTCCCCGCAAGCCCAAGGTAGCTAAATAGGTGTTTCTAGTTACAGACTGAGAGGACTTGCATCTATCATCTTTAAGCAATCCAGAGGCAGATACATTCTTCACCCGCATCAGGAAGCCAGGCAGAGCTGAATTTGAATTAAGATGCACCCCTGAAAACCTGATTAGCCAAGACAAGCTATGGGAACTTAGATGTAACTACCCAAAATGATAGTATGGAGCTTACCCCAGGGGTGGCATTCCTATAGTACTTGTCGCTATAGTGCCCGAATGCTTTACATAGAACGTTTTATTGAACAGCCCAATCATATTGATCTGCCTTCTGTTTGCTGCTGATTCCTCCAAGGAAAGTTTGCTTAGCTGGGCCTTTCAGGGACTGAAAAGCCAGCTTGCCCACATCCCGCCGCTGGCTGCTCCTCTCTCCAGGGGCTGCAGTTATGCTTTGCAGAGACAGAGAATGAAAATCAAGGGCTCCTTTAAGAGAGCGTCCTCCTAAATCTCTGCAGTGCCTCCGATGCACAGGGCCAGAGAAGGGGGCATGTGCAAAGGATCAGTGGCTTCCTTGGCAGGGCTGACTGTACATCACTGCCACTTAGAAAAACAGGGCTTCAGGAGCTATAGAGGAAGCAAGACAACGCAGTTGATTTAATCCCTGGCTAGTAAGAAAGACTGGAGGAAATCTGTCAAAATGCTGGCTTATAAATGGAACTTGAAACTCCCCATTTGGACCCCAGTGGACTAAGGACAGACAGACCATTAAATTGATTTCTCCTAATTAAGACTGCCCCGGCTTGGTCCCACCCAGGACCACATCAGGAACTCACCAGGACCCAAGGGCCTCATTTCTCGTTGGAGAAGGCAAGGTCCAGTCTCCTGGTCAGGTGAGAGGAGGAAGGAAGAAAGGTGCTCAGACCAAGGCAGACTGTGAAAGGCTGGGACTTGGCATAACCAGTGCTGCCTATGGGTAAACCTGTTATAACAGGCCACCTCAGTGGCTGATGCCCTACGTGCACATTTATGCAAACACGTTAATTGGATGTATAACAAGGAGGCATAGCCTTTAAGGTGCTGGCTCCTCAATGTTTCCTGATCAAATGGGACCATGAAATGTGGGGCAGTGTTGCTTTGCAGCACGTGTTCTTACGCCTTGAAGAGCTGTGACGAACAAGGACATTCATTACAGCATTCGGGCCAAGCAAAGCCAAGTAAACCACAGGTCATTTGCTACTGCTCCAGTACAACAGGGCAGAATTTGGCCCTGTACATTTCCAGCTAAAACTACACACAATTTCATCACGTCAAAACAAGAAGGGCCCACCTGATCTCTTGAATGCCCGACAGTTATACAAGCTCTCCATACAACTCCTACTAAAAATCAACGGGGGTCCTTCCAAAGACAGATGTGCAAGACTGAAACCAAAGGTTGTAAAGATGCTTGGCAGGAAGAGTGAGCAGAAGCCTTCTAGCACATGGTCCTAAAAAGATGTCAAAAGCTTCTTTAGGGCTCGTCTTCGCTGCACTGCTAGTGCAAGGCCGTCACCCCAACTTCGCTCCTAACCAGACTCCCACCAACATGCAAAAGTGTTTCAGCTTGAGCTAAAAGTGATGGGATAACTTGGAGTAGCTGGCCTGGAGGAGGCGGGGGGACAGGATGGTGCTGCAGCCACTGGAGATGGCCCCTGCTGCATCACCGCTGCACTCTCCCATAAATGTTAATCCAGTTACCGCGCTGCTAAGTCACTTAGGAGCTCAAGTGTTCTCCCTGCAGCGTAAAAGGCTCTGCAGCTTTGCTTCATTTTTAATGAAACCTCAGATTTATACAAATCTACCGTAATATTTGAATTGGCTTAGTTAAGTTACAAAGCCCATTTGGATGCTGTCAGTATTTATCAAACATTGTGCTTCACACAGGAACATTAGCAAGTCTCCTCATTTTTCTTACGCTGAGCCTCTCTCTCTGCCTGTCCGCCCTTCCCCCTTATTAGTCAGCTTTTCCACTGATGGAAGCCCGCTCTGAACAGAGAAAGAAAATAAGCATCCCTTTCTTTTTCTAAAGAAATAGATGCTATGGACTGCTTTACAGAGACACTTATCAGAAACTGGTTACACCAATGCGACATCTCAAGCGTTTCAAGGCAGAGTCTTAAAAAAAACAAGTTTGCTGACACCTAAAAATGTGTCACCTAAAACCTGGAGGAAGAGGACCGTGAAAGCTTGGCTAAGCCTACCCCAACCAAGAAAGTTGACCAATAAAAGATATCACCCACAAAAATCCTTGCCTCATTTAAATCCATTGTCTTGTTTTTGGACAATGGAGGTGCAAACACATAGCATGCAGTATGATGAAGTTATGTTCCTTTTTTTATTTTATATTTTTTAAAGAGGGTAGAAAAAACTAGCAGCCCACAACTTTTAGAAACTTCCCTGCCTTTAACCTCTCGTCTTGAGACAACAAGTGTTTGCTATGAAGGTGACAATACCAATAGGCACCAGGAGTGTTCAGAGTTAAGGGCGGGAGTGACCGCCCACAATGAAGACATGGGGGCAGAATACAGCCAGGCAAGGTGAGTGCCACACTTCACTCAAGGATGACAGCCTGGGGAGACATGAGAATACACACAAGGTTAAAGGCAATCAGGACTCGTAGTAGAGATGATATCTTTTATTAAACCAACAAGAGTTTTGCCAAAGAAAAAAAAAAAAATCTTTAACTGCAAATTTTCAGGCACAAACACCTTTCATCAGGCATTGGTGCAATTTTTTTGGCAAAAATCTTGTTGGTCTAATAAAAGATATCATCTCTTCTATGAGTCCTGATTGCCTTTTCCTCTAGACCAATACGGCTACAACCTGGACACCTGATGCAAGGTTAAAAATCTTTCTTGCCCATGCTAAGAGAAACCATCAGCCCCCAAGTTGCCTAAGTTTGTTCCAGTTCAATATATAAAAAGGCAGTTGCGCATTAATATTTCTGCAGCGATCTACCTCAAAAACCAAAAGATGCTGTCAAGAAGAGCAAATGTAAATTAGATTAACACAAACTGCTCCACCACGCATCTACAGCCATTATGTCCCTGTAGATGCTAAAATTGACCTTTCCTACAGCCCTTAAGATTGGACTTGACACTGCCTCCGCCCTTTTGCTTAAAGGGTACAATCCCATGATGTCTGTACACTCAGTATGGTCCTGGGGCCCAGACACTGGACTGAAATTCAGGAGGCCAAGGGTCTACTCTTGGTTATACCCGTAACCCATTACACCGCTTCTTAAGATTGCAACATGCTTCTTTCCCCACTGTTGCCTTTTGCCTTCTCTATTTAGGTTACAAGGTCTTTAGGACAGGTCCCAACTGAAGCCCTAAATAATCCTGTAAGAACCAACAGGGTGCCGATTGATTTATTTCTGGTACCAGTCTGCCAGACCAGGGACTCAGCAGTAGGTGCCAGCGCCCAGTCTCCAGTGGTTCTCAACTGGGGTGCTACTGCAGCTACAGCCGGGTGAAACTGCCACCGTTTTCACGATTCAGGGATATACTTGGTAGCCGTGTTGGTCTGAAACCAACAGAAATGCAAAACTCTAAAACTTTTGGCTCAGAGATGATATCTTTTATTAGACCAAACTAAGAAATCGCAAAAAAAAAAACATTTTTCTTTGCAAGCTTTCTGGCTCATGCACCCTTCCTCAGGCTTAGGGAAAATTAAAGATGGTACGAGTCCCCATATTTTTCTACCTATGAGACTTGTACCATCTTTAAATTTTCCCTGAGCCCGAAAGCTTGCAAAGAAAGATCTTTTTTTGCAATGTCTTAGTTGGTCTAATAAACAGTATCATCTCCGAACCAAGAGTTTTAGAGGTTTCCATTCCCGTTTCCATGAGGCACGTGTAGAGCCCGATGAGAGAGCATCTGCAGCAGGATGGACCAGGCACTCCTGCTTGCATTAGTTTAATCTGATAAAGTCGGTAAGCTGAGACAGTACAGCACTGGTTCTCAACTGGGGAAGGCACTACATTCAGAAAACAATTATGGGGGGGGTGTGCCTTGAATCTAATAGGGTTGACAATCACTGCTCTAGTCTTTCTTAAACTGCACATGTCCAAACTCACACGAGGTACAGGAGAGCAGAGCTACACTAGCATTTTGTAAGGGAAAAAAAAAAAAATCCAGGCCGCTAGTCAAAAAAGCCTGAAGCAACAGCTGAAAAACCAAGTCTGAGTTTAACATCCAAAAATGTATTCAGACCCACCCCTCCCCCAGAAAGTTAACAGTGAAAAAAACCCCTCAACATGTTCTTGAATCTTTGAATGTGGCAGCTAGGAATTATAAAACGATTTTAGTAAAAAAAACCAAACAAAAAAAACCCAAAAAACCCCCCAACAAACCTGTCAGTCATCAGATTCAACAGGGCTGGGACTTTCCTTAATAATGTTGCAAACTGGATCCTACTGGTTAACCACACTAAGACTCCCTAGCGCCTGTTACAAAGAAGAGGAAGAATGAACCGAAAGCCGATTGCTAAACACATTCCATGCCATTACTCAAATCTTCCAGAAAGCTGATAGGGTGACAAAAACAAGGAAAAGATAATCCACGTTAAGACACGCTCGAGGTAACATCAGGTTTCCAGTCGTTCCAGCACGGTCCTTAGCGCCTGCTGCGCTTGCACAGGGTGCTAAATGCTGTAGAGAAATCCCGGGCGAGGAAGAGGGACATCCAAGCCCACCCCATCTCCGGGCAGACAACCTGCTTTACATCTGGAAGAGCGGACACAGTGCAGTCATCATGTTATGCGCCAGGACAGCCCTCACGTCAGAGCCGTCCCAGGACTTTGCAGTCTATTCAAATGTGTGAAAGAATTCATTGCAGAGGCATCTGGGCTGACATGAAGGCGTTTCGTTAGCACTACTGGCAGACAGTCACGCTAGATATGCAGAAGTGCATCCTAATTTCATGGTATCTATATTTCACAAGGCCACCAAACACTCCTTCCCTCCCCTAGCGGTTCGGCATCTCTCACCCTCCAGTTCAAACTTCTCCAACTATTACAGGACCGCACAGGTCTTCTCTGTGGACGCCCCCCCACAAACCCATCTTCACCCAACTCCCCGTGCATCTCCTCTACCTCCCTGGTGTGTTAATCTGCCCCCTAATCTCCCTCAAACACCCTCTGCTCTTTTTCTGACCCAGATTCTCGAGCCGCAACGTGCAACCTAACCAAAATTGCTTTGCAACAGAATCGGTCACATGAACGACTCATCTGAACCGCCACAGCATCCTAATGCTTGGTAAGCCCAAACCTCACCCCCACCTCTGCCCACCCAACTCCTCCCTGTTACCAGAGCCCGTGTTTCTAAATCTGCCAGCTGTGCACAGTACTTTCACCGGCGAGGCATCCTGTTGGCGTCACTGGAGCTACCTGCACGGACCGCACTAGAGCTCATGGACCGCCGAGAGCGTTACTCCGACTATTCAGTGTTTAAAGGACTGAGCCGTGAGACTACATTTTCCAGGGCCGAAATATCATCTTCGTTGTTACACTCGTTCCTCCAACAATACTATCGTGGTTGGTGACTCACTTCACTCCTTACCTCGACAGGTGTTGCTAGAAATACCACAGGAGTTTGGACAAATACATGGCATACGCAACTCAGGGCTTGGGCTGGGCCATCATATTTCAGGACAGCGTCACCCACCCTCCAAGTCAGGAGTGGGAAAAATGGCAGATCCGGCCGGCAGCGGGCTTCATTGCCCGCATGGCTGGGGCCCGTCTCCAGGGAGATCCCAGCAGCACCGGCAATGCTGAGGTTTCCATGGAGACCCGCCCCAGCAGCGCTGGCAGGGTGGGCAGCGAGTTGCTCCAGAGCTGCTGGGATCTTGCAGCGGTGACAGCATTGTCTGGAGCCAGGGCGGAGCTGTGACGTGCAGTCTGCACAGATCACAGCTCTGCCCCGGCTCTGGGTCATGCCGTCACCGCTGCAAGGAGCCAGGCAGAGCTGCGGTTTGCTGCCTGCACACCCCTGCCCAGAGCATACAAGCAGCAGATTGCAGCTCTGCCCCAGATCTGGATGAAGCTGTTGCCGCTGCAAGATCCCAGTGCAGGGGCGGGCAATTATTTTGGGCAGAGGGCCGCTTACTGAGTTTTGGCAAGCCATCAAGGGCCACATGACAGGCAGCCAGAGGCAGATAAGCATTCATTTTTTAAATTTTTTAGGGGCCCTGCAGGCCGGAGAGAATGGTCTGGTGGGCCACATTTTGCCCAGCCCTGTCCCAACAGCTCTGGAGCAGCTCCTCATCCTGCGAGCACTGCCGGGGCCGGTCTCCATGGAAACCCCAGCGTTGCGCTATCACAGCACAGCTGCTGCTGGGGTCTCCACGGAGACCAGCCCCAGCCATGCAGGCAGGGGCAGCTGGGAAATGGCCCGTGGGCTGGATTTTTGCCCACCCCTGCTCCAAGTACATAGGGAAGGATGAAGGTACCAGCCATGTGCAAAAAGCTAAAAGCCACATGAGTGTGGGGTATGTGACAGCAAGCTGGTAGAAACAAGAGCTGGGGTGTAGGCAGCAAGTTATAGTTAGCAGTGAACTTTGATGCCACAGCTGTTAGTTTTTGGAACAAGTCTCTGGAGGGAAATGGCAGAATTCTCAGACACCCGACGCGCGACCCGGGCATCGCACCACCGCATGCCGAGTGGGAAGAAATGCTGGATGGAAGTAGAGCTCTGTTAAGTAACCCGGCCAGTGGAGCTTGAAATCATTAAAAAGAGGGTTGGAAGGACCTCAGGAGACCATCTCGTCCAACCCCCTGCTCCAAGCAGGACCAGCCCCAACAAGATTATCCCAGCCAAGGCTTTGTCTAGGTTTAAAAAAACCCCTCCAAGGATGCTTCCACCACCTCTCTGGGTAACCTGTTCCTGTGCTTTCATACCCTCCTCATGGGAAAGTTTTTCCTAATATCTAACCCAAACTTCCCTTGCTGCAACTTGAGACCGTGGCTCCTTGTTTTGTCATCTGCCACCACTGAGAACAGTTCAGGTCCAAGTCTAGCTCAGTTTTAGTTGTTAAATTCCTCCTATACGTTAACAGTTCCAGAGTGGGGGAAAAAATAATTATTTTTTTTTAAAAGGAAAAAAAAAAAAAAAAATCAAAGCAACCAATTCAGGAGAAGTTGCAAGAATGAAAGGTATTATCTTCTAAATAAGTTGGAGAAATAGGGAAGTGAGGCAGAAGATTAAAAATAAAATACAGAATTTAAATAATCTTTTAAGTATGTTGAAAAGGATATCCTAGCTTGGTTTGTCTTCTAAATACCCAAACACATCGCTATACATACACACACTTTCAGTACCTCTTTACGTTTCGTATTTTTTTTTTACCATTTAAAATCAGGTGGTTCTGCACTAAAGCCAAAGCAGTAGCAAAGCATCATGCCAAGTTCCCTACCAAAAGAGATGTACATACTACAGGAAAACAGGGGTGACTAGCTTCTGCTGTACTAAACGTGAGAGAAGCTGCCCAGGCATACTGACAAAATACTATTAAAAATGTAGACATGTGTATAGCTCTGTGACCAGCAGCCTTGACTCTGCTCTAGAATAGATAGCCAAACTCTAGCTGCCTTCAAGTCCCAGCGACTTGGCTGGAGAGACAGGGCAAGATCAGCGAGAAGTCAGGTAGAGGAGAGCGAGGTGATTCAGGGAGGTAGCTGAAACCAATGGGTTTCAAAAGGAGCCTGGAGTAGAAGCAAGCAGACACATTTCAATCTGCTCCTGACCCCAGGTGAACACAAGAGTGTTATACAACGCGATTATCACCCGACAGTGGCAGCGATACCATCAGCCCGACCCACCAAGCTGCTTTGCGTGCGTCTTAGCCATAAAACAAGTAAACAGCAGTTTTATTTTTATACTCGGATCAGCCTTCCAATGCATTCGTTCTCGACTGCTGCATCCAGCAAGGAGGGCATTATTAACCACGCAGCGTCAGATCCGCAACACTCAGGGAACCACCGTCCATACGTTTGAGAGCGCAGGGAATATAGCTTGTGTGTTTACTCACACCGTTGTTACAGGCTGGGGCAGGGCTTGCATTGCTCGGATGCTCCCCATGACGTTTAAAACTGCACTGTCTCAGGACGTGAATTTAATACTCCGCTTCTCAGAAAGGGAGCCGAAAGCTCAGCTCCTAGCTCTGTATTTCAGCACCTGCATCAGCAGCCCAATTTCTGTCTTAAGGCTCAGACTGCCAACCACTCAGAAGGCAGCGAGTGCTCAGCACCCGAGACCCCAGCCCTGACACCAGGCATGATTTTTAGCCTGTGGGGAGCACAAATTTCTCTTTTGTTTCCGGAAGTCCCCATCCCCATTGAACCCCTCCTCCCGCACCTTGGATCCTTGTTTCTTTCTGCAGGGATACTTGCAGCGCCAGCACCGACTTGCCAAGGTCCACCCCGATTTCAAGAGCAAACATCCTCCTACCACGTCAGCCAGGTGAGGTTAACTGCAGCCTTACCAAATAGCAGCCTCTCCCGGGAAGGGAAGCAATGAAGCTTTGGGGAGCCAATTTGTTCAAGCCCTACCTGCAACCATTCAAACAAAGGCCATTAACAGCTCCATGCTAATGACAGACCCGGAGGGAGACGCACGGAGACCCGCGCCTGCATGAAAGACATCACCCGCAAACACCCATCACCGCCGGCAATCCCTGACCCAGCACAGCAGCACCGCCACCAAACGCAGCCGTTCACCCTGCTCACACCCAGGGTCTGACCGAGCCATCCACCGCTCCACCAGCCAAACCCAGCGGTTGCGGACCGCACGCACCACCTGGAAAATCCCAGATCTTCCATTTCCAGTTTTTTAAATTTTTTTTTGGACGACAGGAAAAAAAAACAGCAAAGCGATTCTGCCGCACGCATCTCCGGGAGACCGGAGGGTGTGAACGCGCTGGCTTCCTAGCGGACATCTCAGGGTTTATACGAATCACGCACGCCCACCCAAGGGTGCGACCACCGCCTGGCACCCTGCAGAGGCACCCCCGGGCTTCTCCCCCTCCCGCGAGGGCCCCACCCCGCTCCCGGGTGAGCATCCCCCTCCC